TTGACTCATTTTCATTAGCTGCCTGGCCTTGGTCGCTAGGTAGGTACTACTTTGGAGTTCCAATTTCGTCTACATTGAGGAACATTATACTAGCCTGCTGCATGTATAATAAGAGTGATTTAAACAGGTAAAACTATTGAAATGTAAGGTCATAGGATTATTCTTATTTAACATAATTTTTTTCTTTTTTTATTAAGACACAGTCTTGTTTTGTTTCCCAGACTAGCGTGCAGTGGTGCGATCATAGCTTACTGTAGCCTCAAAATCCTGGACACAAGCGATCCTCCCTCCTTATCCTCCCAAATAACTAGGACCACAGGCATGTGCCACTACTTGCAGCTATTTTAAAAAATTATTATTGTAATTTTGTAGGATGGAGTTTCACTGTGTTGCCCAGGCTGGTCTCAAACTCCTGGCCTCAAACAATCTTCCTGCCTTGACCTCCCAAAGTGCTGGAATTACAGTGTGAGCCACCATGCCCGAGCCCTGAACTTTTTCACCAGTATTTGTGTAGGAGCTGTCAAATGATTCATCTTATTTTATCGTATGAAACGGTTTGTTCCATATCCTTTCCCCTGCTCACCTTTTTTATTTAGCATTTGAATATGTAAGCTTATTTTCAGTTTGTATTGTGTCATGAGCTTTCTATGTTAATCTGAAGAGAGTGATTTTTTTTTTTTTTAATCAGTCAAATTCTTGGCATAAGACTAAGTCATCTGGCTGACATGTGAAAATAGTCAGAAGAATTTTTAAATGCTAGAAACATTGTGACATTTCTCCAAGAAGAACATTTGAAAATAGTTCACTAGTTTCTCAGGATGCCACATTTGTTACTGGAATTTGAATGCCCTTTGTTGTTCTTAGCACTCGGTTGTGATGACTTGTGCAATGTTTTGGATTTTAAGTCATACCAAAGATTTTTGAAGGATATAAATAAAACCTCAAAATGTTGTGTATAAGAATAGAAATCGCAGGCGTGGTGGCTCATGCCTGTAATCCCAGCACTTAGGGAGGCAGAGGCGAGAGGATTGCCTGAGCCTACGGGTTCAAGACCAGCCTGGGCAACTTGGCAAGGTCTCATCTCTACAATAAGTTAAAAAATTAGCCAGGTGTGGTGGCGCGCACCTGTGGTTCCAGCTACTTGGAAGGCTAAGCTGGAAGGATCCCCTGAGCCCAGCAGGTTGAGACTGTGGTGGCCATGAATGTGCCACTGCACTCCAGCCTGGCTCACAGTGAGACTCCAACTCAAAACAAATAAATAAATAAATAAAATAAAAAATTAGCCAGGTGTGGTTCCGTATGTCTATAGTTGGGAGGCTGAGACAGAAGGATCACCTGAGCCCAGGAGGTTGAGGTTACGGTGAGCCATGGTTGTGCCACTACACTCCAACCTGAGCAACAAAATGAGACCCCGACCAAAAAAAGAAAGAAAGAAAGAAAGAAATCAGAAGCATGCATTTTAATTGGGCTTTTATTATTTGAGACCTGCGCATCAGGAGGGAAATGGTAAATGATGGAGTTGTGATCCTTTTCCTTGTCATTCACTTACCTACCCACTGCTAATCGAATACTTCTAGATTTTGGAACATGACTTAAAAGTTCTCACAGGAGCTGGTGTGGTGTGGCTCATGCCTGTAATCCCAGTACTTTAGGAGGCCAAGGCAGGAGCCCAGGAGTTCAAGACTAGCCTGGACAACATAGTGAGACCTTGTCTCTACAAACGAAAAACTTTTTTGGGGTTTTTTTTGTTTTTTTGAGTTGGAGTCTCACTCTGTCACCCAGACTGGAATGCCGTGGCATACTTACAGCCACTCCAGCGTCAGCCTGCTGGGCTCCAGTGATCCTTCTGCCTCAGTCTTCCAAGTCCCTGGAACTACAGGCACGCGCTCCCACGCCCAGCTAATTCTTTTTTTTTAACTTATTGTAGAGATGAGTTCTCGACAAGTTGCCCGGGTGGGTCTCGAACCCGCGGGCTCAGGCAATCCACTTGCCTCGGCCTCCCAAAGTGCTGGGATGGCAGGCGGAGTCACGAGCCTGGCCAGAAAAAACTTAAGAAAAAAAAAATCTGTCCTCATGGGAATTGAGGCATGCAGATGGTATGCCTCAAAAATGGGGCTGGTGAATGGTTGGGGGAAAGTCCTAGGAGTGGCTGCAGTGTTATTCCACAACAGCAACAACAAAAAGACCTTGCACCATGACTTTGAAGTCCACCACTGACATCTCAAGTATTTTCTGCCCCAGTATTTTAACTCTTCTTTTGTGATTGCTGTTTGCTTCTTCAAGAAGAGACAGTACGGTCTTGCTGATGCTTTCTAAGCCCTCTCTCTGTACTTTCCATGTGTTTTTTAATTCACTCTTAACAAACTGAAATCATTTGCCTACTCGTCATCGTGTATGCTGCATTGTTATCTGTGGCTGCCCAGCACTTTACCCCAAAATTTAGTGACTTCAAACATCAGTAGACAGTGCAATCAGACAGTGTCTGTATGTCAGGCATCTGGGATTTTTTTTTTAAGTTGGAGTCTCACTTTGTCGCCCAGTCTGGAGTGCAGCTGGGCTCAGGTGATCGTTCTGCCTCAGTCTTCCAAGTAGCTGGGACTATAGGCGCGTGCCACCACACCCGACTAATTTTTTGACTTATTGTAGAGACAAGGTCTCACCAAGTTGCCCAAAGTGGTCTTAAATCCGTAGACTCGGGCAATCCTCTTGCCTCCATGTCCAAAGTGTTGGGATCACAGGCGTGAGCCACCACCGCATCCAGCGGTGTCTAGGAACTTCTTGAGTGGGTCTGGTCTGGTTCTGAATCTTGTTTGGGCGGTAGTCACCTGCAGGAGCTCTTCTAACGTGGCTTGCTCACATATCTGAAAAGCTGGTGGGATTGCTGGACTTTCCTCACCACGAGGGCTGTCCGAGTCTCCTCCCAAAATGGCTCGCTTTACCCAGAGCGAGGGCTCCGAGGGAAAGGAAGGCCGAAGCCATGTCTTTTTGTGATCTAGCCTCTGAAATCTCACTCAGTCATTACTGCAATATCCTGTTACCACAGGGCACCCTTTCCATCGTGGGAGGGGACCACACAGGCGTGGAAATAGCAGGAGAAACTGGCTGTCACAGCTATTTAATCTCTCTTGGTCATCATTTGTTGTCTCTTGTTCTCAAATAGCACCGTGGAATTAGAGTAGACATTCTCTATACATAGCTTCTCCTGAAAATATACCAAAAGAATTTCAGAAATGCGTCGTGTCCAGATTGTCAGGAGCACAGGGATAGATCATAAAACTGTAACAGTTTAGAACTTACTAATCTGAGAATTTGTGTTAATATAGGAGTCACAGGATTCTTTTAAGTAACCTTTCATTTGAAAGGCCTTTTGAATCGGGAAGATTAGTTGGTGTAAAAGCAATAATAATAGATGGACAGCAAATATTTCTGTCATTATTAGGTAAATAGATTTATTCTGGATCTCTACATTTCCTTCAGTTTATCTTATTGTGGTTTATACTATCTATTCATGTACAGACATTCCCCATCTGGACTTAAAAATTACAGTGTTTTTAAAGTCCATGGTCAGGAATGTAGGTTCTTTTTCCCCCCACAGGAAAAAAATGCTACATTGTTCTTGTGCTCTTTGAATTGAACTTGTGTTCCAAAGCTCACCCACAGTTATTTAATGTATTAGGCATTATTTTTTGTTTTGAAAATCAGAAGGAAATAATGCTGCTGCAATTTTGCTGATTAAAGAAACCAAAGAACTGCAATCTTGAATGGGAAACATTATCTTAAATTGATGGTTAAAGGAAAATTTATGTAGTTGGAGAGATCTTAGGAACTAAGACAAATTCTGAAAGAAGTCTCTGAATTTCATTCCAATACATAAGTGAGTCAAACCTTATTCTCACTCTCATTGGCTTAAAGGTTTTATTTTATTTTTTGGTTTTAGGGTGTTTTTTTTTTAGGATTCTAGGAAGCTCTAAAAGAGAATGGAGGCCGGGCACAGTGGCTCAAGCCTATAATCCCATACTTTGGGAGGCTGAGGTGAGAGGATTGCCTGAGCCCACAGGTTCAAGACCAGCCTGGGCAACTTGGTGAAAGGTTTTCTATACAGAAAATTAAAAAAGAAAAAATTAGCTGGGTGTGGTGGTACATGCCTGTAGTTCCTTTCGGAAGGCTGAGGTGGAAGGATCGCCTGAGCCCAGCAGGTAGAGACTGTGGTGACCATGAGCATGCCACTGTACTCCAGCCTGGGCAACAGAGTGAGACTCCAACTCAAAAAAATGAAAAATTTTAGAAAATAAAAGAGAATGGAGAAAAAATACTTTACTGATATTATATGGAAAGTCCTAGAAGAGGCAGGAGACACATTGGAGACTAGAAGGGAATGAGGGAATTTGGAAAACAAGCAATTTTTTTTTTTTTTGGAGAGGGGATCAGGGTCTCATGTTGTCACTCAGCGTGGAGAGCAGTGACGTGATCATAGGTCACTACAGCCTTGACCTTTGGGTCATCCTCCTGCCTCAGCCTCCCGAGTATCTGGGACTACAGGCACATGCCACCATGCCCAGCTAATTTTTTGATTTTTGTAGAGACGAGGTCTTGATATGTTACCCAGGCTGGTTTCGAACTCCTAGGCTCAAGCATTCCTCTCGGCTTGGCCTCCCAAAGTGTTGGGATTAGGAACGTGAGCCACTGTGCTCAGTAATGCTAGATTTTAAAAATATTTTACTTTTCATGAAGTAGCTGTCTTTCTAAATACCACAGAGGTTGCTGAGAAGAGTTGCTGGCCAGGGCTCAGATTGCAAGCAACAGAAACCAGCAGTGGCAGGTTTAAACAAAAGGGGAATTCCTTAACAGGTTACCGGGTGACTCATAGAATCAATCTTTGTGACGGCTGGAGAACCCAGCCCAGTTGACTGGCTGCAAATTGGACAAAATTGACTTTGCAGTGACAGCACTGTCTCTTCATTTAGAAATAAATTGCCTTTTTCTTCTTTTTTCAAATTTAGGTTATATATTTGGGGAGAACTCCAGAAGAAGCATATAGAATATTAATCTTTGGAGATACATCCTATATTCCTTTCAGGTAAATATAAGAATGACATGGTAGATTGATTCATTTAATAGAATTCTTGCCAGAAATATCTTGGTAGTTATTTCTGAAAAAAGAAGATGTGGTAAATAGTCATTTCAGAACAGGCACAAAAAACACCATAAATCTAGGTTTTACAATAGTGACAGACACTACTGCCATTTTGTCTTGAGGGGCTGTCTTGTACATTGTAGAGTGTTTAGTGGCATCCCTGGCAGAAATTCTGCCCACTAGATGCCCATAACATCTCCATCCATGCCTAGTGGTCAAGATTCAGAATGCCTTCAGACTATGTCAGATGTTCCCAGAAGTGGTATTGAGGGCTGGAGACCAAAATCTTCCCTGATTGAGAGCCACTGCCATTGCTGAAAACTAGGCTTTGTAATCAGGTGAGAATCTTGATGTTATGATCCTCAAAAATACTACTGAGGAGTTTGGTTCCTGACGAGTTAAGAAATACGGTTTCCCAATAATCAGTCATTACTTTCTGGGGGAAATGATGAACCCCTTTTTCCTAGACACAGCCAGCAGAAATAGTGCTGTTGCTAAGGTTGTACCTATTCCAGAAAAACCAGTCAAGCAGCCGTGTCATAGGGCTGGTAGAGATGGGTGATGTCTTTGCAGGAGTAGATACCATTCTCATCTCACACTGGCCAGGTGATTGTGTTCAAGGTACTTTGAAAAATCATGTACTTTCTTCCCCCTTTAAATCAAGTTAATTTCTAAAAGTTTCTTTACTTGTGAATCAAAACACTTGACTTAGTTGTATATCTTAAATACTTGTATGGCCCTTAATGAGTAATAAATATGTGAGATAATTTTACTCTTGCATATTTTATTGGTAGTTTCAAATACTGCTTTGTTCTTCTGTTCACAAATTAGTTCATCGTTTTGTTACATATACCTCGAATGACTGATTTTGAAGGTTGGGCCTTGCCTTTAAACGTGGAAGTTTGTGAATCTCGCTTCATTATGGATAAACTGTGGGATGGGTCTCCCTAATTACGGGCAGAGTCTCCTTTTCAGATAACTCTGTAGGAACTTCCATGGGCAATCTGAAGAATTCAGGAATAACTGGCATGAAAGACTGTATATTAGTGATTTAACAAATTAGAAGAACTAGTTTAAGCCCCTTTCTGGCTAGCTCATGTGTCATCTTAAGTGTTCTGCTGTTTGAGGCGAGTGGAGAGGGAAGAGGGAGATGAAGGCCGCTTTCGGACTGGAGGGTGCGCCGTGCCTCAGCCTGTGACCCGACAGCAGCCATGTTCGTCCTTTAGAGGCAGTGCTTGTGCTCGTGGTCCCTGAGTCACAGGCGCGTCAGGTCCTCTCTTGAGGTACAGTGGTGTTTTTTTGTCCCACAGAACTCGTCTTTAAAATGCTTGCACATTTCACATAGTCCAAGAAAGGAGCCGTGAAACACTGCTGATGTGAACAAAAAGATTTTGGGTTGGTTTGCCTCCAGGTACCACGGACAGAATAAACGTGACTTCCTGCCATTCCTGATGTTTGGCTCTGAGAAATGAAGTTAGTGACTTCTGTCCCCAGGACCATCTGTCAGTAGTTCTCTAAGAAAGCAGGATTTAGCTAGAAACCATTCAGGTTTGTGGAATTTGAATATCTTTAGTTGTAGATGCCTCCTCACATGGGGTTTATCTAGAGCAGCGTGTATCAAAGTGTGGACTGTGATGAGATGAAAGCAGAATTTGAGAGTAAGATTTCAGAGACATTTATAGTTATTTAACAGAATAATTTTCTCAGTGGGATCAAATCATAAAAGAATTTGATCTTGTATTTTGGTTTTTTCTTCCCATTTTTCTTTTTTTTTTTTAATTACATTTTGTTTTGTTATTGAGATGTAGGGAATGATAAGTAAGGATTAACTGTGCATGTAGGCAGCATGCAGGTGAAGTTGGGCCTCCAACTGGCCCTCCCTCCCCCGGTATAGCATCAGGTACCCTTTGTGTATTTTTTATTTTCTTTTTTTCTTTTCATAATAAATATTTTTTATTATGGTTTTGTGGGGTACAGTTAAGGGTTAGGTGTACAATTACGTTTCATTCAGGCACCCTGTTGATAAGAGGTGTTTCCCCATCCCCAGACAGATATTTGCTACTGTTAATCCCATCCCCCTCCTCCCCCCATAGTTTCCCAGTACTGTCAGTCATTTTCTCATAGTATTACATTGGATGTTCAAGATCCATTATATGAGTGAGAACATGTGATACTCGGATCTTTGTTTCTGTGAGAGGTCACTCAGTATTATAGTATCTAGTTCCATACAGGTTGCTGCGAAATTCATGATTTTGTTCTTTTTTATGGCTGCATAGTATTCCATCGTGTATATGTACCACATTTTTTTAATCCAGTCCTCTTTTGATGGACAGCATGGTTGCTTCCAGGTTCTTGCTATTGTGATATTTTTTATTTTCTTTACAAAAATAAGGTTATTGCATTATTGTGGAGATATATTAATACACTATTGTATTACTTTTTCATATTTATTATATTTCATAAAATAATCAGCCTTTGATGGACTTCAGATTGTAAAATTTGATGATTCATCACATTTTACTGTTGTGTAGAACTTACTAATTAGAAAGTAAGCCAGTCAGAATTCATAAAGCCTGACAATATCTTGGTAGAAATGACATATTCTTTTTATCCTTGCCACTTCAAGAGCATGGAAGTGCTCTTTTCTTTTATGTTCCATGGCAATGTTGGGCTTAATTTAACTCTGATGTAATTTCTTAATCACCGAGTTTAAAAGTGTATGAATAGAGAGACACGGCTTCTTATTGAATTGTTAAATATTTCTCTGTGTCTGCCTGAAAAATAGTATAAAATGTAGTTTAACGTTTTTTTTGATCCTGTAGGATCATTGTTATGAAGACCATATATTTCTGTTCTCTGGTATCTTTGCATTGCTCTTCTCAGTTCTTTTTGTCTCTACTTTCTACTTTCTTTCTTTCTTTCTTTGAGTTGGAGTCTCACTCTGTCGCCTAGCCTGGAGCGCAGTGGCACTTTCCAGGCTACTGCAACCTCAAACTGCTGGGATCCAGCGATCCTTCCGCCTTAGCCTTCCAAGTAGCTGGTACGACAGGCACATGCTACCACGCCCGGCTAATTTTTGATTTATTGTAGAGACGAGGTCTTGCCAAGTGGCCCGGGCTGGTCTCTAACCCACGGGCTCAGGCAATTTTCTCACCTCTGCCTCCCAAAGTGCTGGGATTATAGACTTAAGCCACCGAGCCTGGCCTACTTTCTATTTTTTTGAGAGATGGTATTGCTTAGCTGTTAGTAACTTTCTATTAAGAGATGGTATTGCTCTTGAGAAATGATTAGTAGCTTGGCTATTGATGTCAGACAGATAGGAGTTTGTCAGCTCTGCTGCTAATATCGTTGCAATCCTTTACAAATTTGAACTTGATCCTCTAGTCTGTAAATGGGAATAATGATAAAAATCTCCCTGATCCGGCTGTGAGGATATGACAGCCTGCACCTAAAACACTTGGTGTCGTGCCTGGCCCTTAGCTAGGATTTGTGGAATATTTATCCTCCCCTTTTAAGTTGATGTCTCTTACACACAATTTTAAATAGCGTTCACCTTAAGGGTACAGCACAGTAAAGTTTCCATATGTCTATGTAACTACCACACAGTTCAGGACACAGAGTGTCACTGTCACCCCAGAAGACTTCCCTCCTGCCCCTTTTACCCAGTGATCACCCCCCAATAACCACTCTGATTCATGCCAGTACCAATTCGTTTGCTTGCCCTTGGTCTTTGTGTTACTGGAATTTTATAGTGGGCATTCTGGAGAGTTGGCATCTGGATTTTAAATACGCAGTATTTGTGACGTTTATCCATGTTGTGGCAGATATCAGGGTTCAGCCTTTATTATTGCTTTTGTAGCATTCCGTTCTAGGAATAACCTTAATTTATTTGTTCATCATCCTTTCAATGGCTACTACCTGAGTCCTTTGCAGTTTTGGAGTATGATGAATACAAGCTGTTACGAAAGCTGCCGTTAAAAAAATTAACAGTTAGCCAGGCTTGGTGGCTCAGCCTGTAATCCCGCGCCTTTGGGAGGCTGAGGTGAGTGGATTGCCTGAGCCCACGGGTTCGAGACCCGCCTGGGCAGCGAGACCTCCTCTCTACAATAAATCAAAAAATCAGCAGGGCGTGGTAGTGCATGCCTGTAATTCCGGCTACTTGGAAGGCTGAGGCTGAGGGATCGCTGGAGCCCAGCAGGTCGAGAATGTGGTGGCCAGATCAGCCACTGCACTCCAATCTGGGCGACAGAGTGAGACTCCAACTCAAAAAAAAAAAATTAGCAGTTAACATTGTTTTGCGGTTTTTCAGTAGTACCCCGTTATAGATTCCCATCTGTTTTTCCAAGTTTGTTAAGTGATCTTAGATCTCATTTTCAAAAGTACGATATAATGTTTAAAATTACAAAAAGGGCCAGGCTTGGTGGCTCAACCTGTAATCCCGCGCCTTTGGGAGACCGAGGTGAGTGGATTGCCTGAGCCTGTGGGTTTGAGACCCGCCTGGGCAACTTGGCGAGACCTCATCTCAACAATAAATCAAAAATTAGCCAGGCGTGGTAGCGCACGCCTGTAGTTCAGCTACTTGGAAGGCTGAGGCGGAAGGATCGCCGGAGCCCAGCAGGTTGAGGCTGTGGTGACCGGGAGCGGCCACTGCACTCCAGTCTGGGCGACAGAGTGAGACTCCAACTCAAAAAAATAAATAAATAAAATAAAATTACAAAAAGGGAGTACCTGCATAATGAATATTTGTATACCTAACCCTGAACTGTACCCCACATCTTTAAAATAAAAAATTTAAAGATTAAAAAAATAAAATCACAAAAGGGGTCGGGCACAGTGACTCACACCTGTAAGCTGCTTTGGGTGGCCGGGGCAGGAGGATTGCCTGAGCCCAGAAGTTTGAGACCATCCTGGGCAACAGAAAAAGAAAGAGAAAGGGAGGGAGGGAAGGAAGGAGGGAGAGGTGTGAGGGGGTTAGAGGCAGAAGGGGAGGAAAGGAACGTGAGTGAATAAAGAAGAACTCTTGGCTGGGTGTCAGCCTTACTCCTGTAATGCCAGCACCTCGGGAGGCTGAGGCGAGAGGATTACCATTATGGAGGTAGTTTAGGAGGGAGGTATGTGGGAGGTGGGTTCCCTGGAGACTGAAGCCACCGTTGTCTTCAGGCAGCCTCAGACCAGTTGTTTAAGAAAGAATATGTTGGGGGCAGCTTCCCCCTTACCAAAGGGTCAGGACGTGAAGATTATTAATTGACCTCTATTTGGGTGGAGGCAAACTTAGAAACAATACATTTGTTAACTTCTAACTATAGCTGCAGTTTGTCAGGGCTCAAATCTCCTCTACACCTTTTACCTCTTGGCCCAATATCAATTTTATATAGGTAGTTTCATGTTGATACAGTGTTCGGATGAAGTTCTTTGAACTACTTTGTTTACAGCCAGGGTGGTGGCTCATACCCGTAATCCCAGTGTTTTGGGAGGCCGAGGCAGGAGCATTGCTTGGGCCCAGAAGTTTGAGATTAGCTTAAGCAAAGTCAAGACTTGATTTCTACAAAAATTTTTTAAAATATTAGCCAGGCATGGTGGTGTATGCCTGTAGTCCCAGCTACTTGGAAAGCTGAGGTAGAAGAATCACCTAAGTGCAGGAGGTCAAGGCTGTGGTGAGCCTGGGCGACAGAGTGAGAGCCCCCAACTCAAAAACCTGGAAAAAACCAAAGGCAAGTTTTTTTGCATGTGTGTCAGAGTCTTACTCTCGCCTAGGCTGGAGTGCAGTAGCATGCTCATGGCCACCCCTGGGTCCTGGTGATCCTTCTGCCTCAGCTTTCCAAGTAGGCGGAGCTACAGGTGCACGGTGCTACATGTGGCTAATTTTTTGATTTATTGTAGAGACAAGGTCTCACCAAGTTGCTCAGGCTGGTCTTTGAACCCTTGGGCTCAGGCAATCCTCACCTTGACCTCCCAAAGTGCTGGTATTACAGGCTTGAGCCACTGCGCCCGGCCAGCAAATTTTTTAAAATGAGAATGCTTCTGAGTATATGTTTGATTTTAAATTATAATCATCTTTGTCTTGAAGTTGGTGTACTACAGAAAATTAACTAAGCTATGTTTTTCCATACTTTGGAATGTCAGAGATGCTGCCTATGGAAGCTGCAATTTCTACATTACACTCCTGGACTGTTTTCATGCAGTAAAGAAGGTAAGTGACTGCTAGGATGCCTCCAGTGTTGTGTTGGAGAACTAAAGTATTGGTCCAAGGAAGACTAGGCCTTCTTCCTCAGAGATCTGTTTGTTAGGATTTCTTCCAAGATGTGTTTGATGAGCAAGATATTCCATTTTCCAGCTAACATTAGGAGATCAAATGTTTCATTCTGAAATTCGGAGTGCTTCTGTGTGTGAGCTGCGAGGAGAGAGGACAGGAAGCCACTTGAAAAACAGGCACAGTAGGAGACAGTTACGAAATTAGGTGCTAGATCAAGGATTGGCTTTGAGTGTGTTGTGATTGAAAAGAAAAACAAGCCAGGTGCGGTGCCTCATGCCTATAATCCCAGCACTTTGGGAGGCTGAGGTGAGGGGATTGCCTGAGCCCATGGGTTTGAGACCCGCCTGGGCAACTTGGTGAGACCTCTTCCCTACAATATACCAAAAAATTAGCTTGGGGTGGTGGTGTGTGCCTGTAGTTCCGGCTACTTGGAAGGTTGAGGTGGAAGGATCACTGGAGCCCAGCAGGTCAAGGCTGCAGTGGCTGGGAGCGTAACACTGCCCTCCAGCCTGGGCAACAAAGTGAGATTCCAACTCAAAAAAAAGAAAAGAAAAGAAAAACAAAAAGTAAATAGATGACTGGCTTCCAAGTTTACTCTGATTTATGTGTTTTATGAATCTGTTCCCACTGATATTGTTCTATCAGGCACCTCTGTAACATGGTAACCATCCCTTCGTTTTTGTTTCTTCAGGCATTCCATTTCTAGTTACAGAATTTGAATTGCCAGTTGGGTTGTTACCAAGCTTAATATAAAACTAAGTGGGACACTACTGCTTTGTCAAAACTGTTTTCAGGTAACTGCTGTGTTTCATAACTAGGGCTGCTGTCTTGACTCCAAGGGACACCCTTCGCATTCTTAAGGAACAGGATGCCCTGGTTAGGCAGTGCAGCAGGTCCTGGGATTTTTCTTGAATGTCAGGGCAGCCCAAAAAACTATAATTGCACATCAGTTCAAAAAAGCTACCTCCCAAGTTTTATGTAACCTGTGTTAGAGGCAAAGGAACCCAGGTTTACTTCCTTGTATAATGAAACAGGATGGCTTTCTGGGAGTTTTGACAGAAATTCTGTGCTTTAAAATAAGAGAACTTTTATTTATTTATTTTTTGAGTTGGAGTCTCACTCTGTCACCCAGACTGGAGTGTTCAGAGACTAGTTCGTATACCTTTTTCCTTGTGTCAGGCAATGAGGTATGGAAAAAGACTTTGTTTGGAGTCCAGGGACTCTGTAGGGGTGTGCAGCTGATTGAGGGCATCCCCACAGGCCCGGATGCAGCTCCACAAGCTTTGGCAGGTTCAGGTGGAAGTCAGCGGACTGAAGGGTAGCCGGCATAAATGGAACCTCCTGGTTGCCAGATGGGCTCATGGAGGTAGGCATGCTCACCTTTAAGAAGAGACAAAAAAAGCTTTTAGGGGCTTGGAGATGGTCTACTACGATACTGTCCAGCTGTTTCTCTTGTTACGTATTGGCTTGGGTGTTTTTTTAATCAAGTATTGCACTAATTATATTCGGCTAGTGTGATAGATCAAAGATTGCTTTTTTCATGCTATACTTTGTTTTGTTTAAGTGTCAGTAGCTTGTGATTTTAATGGAAACATTTTTTATTTGTGACTGTCATTCATTTGAATGTTATTGAATATGTGAAGAAACATTTATCCATGTAATTATGTTTTTTCAGTGCTATCTACTTCCAGTAGCCTTGTCTAATGAAATTCAAAGGAAAATAGGAATTGCCTGTAAGCTACTTTTTATCATAGCATTCTGTTGGGAACATCTGCAGTCCACAGATCATGAACTATATTGAATATCTTGAATCCAAGGAAATAAAATGTCTTGGGATTAGTACTTAAATAACTATGCCTGATAAAATGAAGACCTTTTGGTTGCTATGCTAGCCTTATTTCACGTTCATATTTCAGTAGTTTAAAGTTTGAAAACTGGGTTTACAAACCTCTTCCCACCCCCAAACCAAGAATACTTCGTGGACCAAGAATTGTCTGGCTCTGTGATCAGTGAGCCAGGAGGACACTTCTCAGAGGTTGCCCGGTCTCTGTTGGGTTTTTGTCAGAAAACAGATGCTTGCTAATTTTGCTTAGCATCCTCTGCCTGCTGCAACACGGAGTGAGACTGCAGGATAGGACAGACTATTTTTGCTTTCTTCTTATGGAAAGAAGCACTTCTTCTCCTCAAAATTTCTGATTTTAGTGTTGATGTCTGGGCTGTCTTTAGTTTGGGGGACATTGATCTCTTCATTAAAGATCATTTAGAAGAATTTGAAAGTGAGGGTATCAACGAAGTGTGTGGGCTCTGTTTGCGATAGTTTCTTTCTGCTTTAGTGTTTATGTAGAGGCCGTTGGGTTGTGCATTAGATTTGGGTCCTAAACTTTCCAACTGGGGGTGATGTTGACCTGGGAAATTAGTAGGATTACTTTGCAGGCATGATTACTTAACTCTGCATGGATAGGATGATAGGTGAGTGAAAATAAAAAAATCAAATCATTAAATATTATAACTAATTTCCAGAGAATAGAGGCATTTAAAAAACAGTGCCCACATCCTTTGGTAACGATTCAATAGAAAGTAGTCTACATATAATAATACTTCTGGGGATGCCTCCTTATATTATTAGGAAGTGGGGGGGGAGATTGTTTACATCTTTGCATCTTTGGTCATTAAAGCTTTCTTTTGGATTTTAGGCAATGCAGTATGGCTTCCTTAATTTCCACTCATTTAACCTTGATGAATACGAACACTATGAAGTAAGTCTTTACAGATAATGTTCTAAGTACTTTTTTCTTCTCAGCTTTATTGAGGGTAGTAATTGACAAAGTTTGTATATATTTAAGTCATACAAAGGAATGTGAAATGATTATCACAGTTGAGCTTATTAACATATCACCCAACATAGTTACTTTTTTTGGTGTGTGTAATGAGAACACTTAAGATCTACTCATTCAGCATATTTCAAGTATACAGTGTATACATCAGTTCTCCAGAACTTAGTCATCCTAAAACTGAAAGTATGTACTCTTTGACCAAAGTTTCCCCATTTCCCCCATTCTTTTTAAAACACATTTTTTCATCCATTTTACTTTATAGAATTAATTAGTTGTTTTGCTTTTTAAATCAGTTGAGGTGTGTATGGCGTAAGTTTTCCTCTTCTGACCCTGTTTTTCTGGGTCCAATTCTTAGTGCTAATTTCTGTATTTGATGGATGGTTTCAGAGCAAATGAGTATGCTCATGTTTAAATTTTTTTTAGCATGGGTGATTATCATATGGTGATTAAGTGAGGTAATGTTTGTAAAATCCTCAAGTTAGGGTATGATGAGGTGAATTGTATATCTAATCACCTATGGAAAATGTCTTGGTTGCTGTCATAACCTTTTGTTTGTCAAGACACTTCTGGGTGCAAATTACAGAAAGTAAGCACAAATGCTTTAAATAAAAAGGAATATTTATTGAATTAGATAAGTTAAAAGTCTCGGAGCAGGTGCGACTTCAAGCATGACCCCCTTCAGGTGCTCGAACCCTTGCTGGAATTTGGTTGGAAGCGAGTTTCGTTCTTAGGTCGTTCCCCTCCAGTGGTGATCAAGATGGCCACAAGCAGCTGTGATCCTGGCAGACAGATCAGAAAAGAGTTATTTTGGCTCAGGCATGAGGGCTCCTCACAGGACTTAGACCATGTGCCTATCCCTGAGTTAGCCTGTCTTCTTCAGCAGGGGAGGTGGTGTGGAATCCCCAGGCAGCCTTAGTTCTCTGACCATTCCAGGAGTCTGGGGCACTGGGGTCAGCCTTTTCCAGCCAGCCAGACACATTGTTTTAAAGGTGGGATGGGGTCAGGGGAAAAGTCCAGCCAGGCAAAACCCCAGGTGTGCTCTACATTTTTTAACACAGTGTATTGGAAGAAAACATCATTTGAGTCTGCAGCTTCATCCTCCAGATAGGTCATGGGTAAGATGCTATGCTCAAGGCCTTTGCAGTGAAGAATGATTGTAGACTCTTGTCTTTTCATCCTGCTAGAGTGATCTTGAACCGACTTTCTAATAATGAGAGATGATTCCTAGATAGCACTTCATGTGACCGTCTCTTGAATCCTCAGATAACACTTTTTTCCACAGTTCATTTCTAGAGTAACTGTTATTTTAAACTCTTATGTATAGCTGAATGATTTTATTTTTATTTGTTCGGAGTCTCACTCTGTCACCCAGAATGGAGTGCAGCAGCATGCTCATGGCCACTGCAGCCTCAGCCTACTGGGCTCAGGCGATCCTTCCACCTCAACCTTCAGAGTAGCTGGAACTACATGCATGCACCACCATGCCCGGCTAATTTGTTGATTTATTGTAGAGATGAGGTCTCACCAAGTTGCCCAGGCTGGTCACGAACACATGGGCTCAGGCAATCCTCTCACCTCAGCCTCCCAGAGTGCTGGGATTATAGGCATGAGCCACTGTGCCTGGCCAACTCAACGTTTTTGTTGTTGTTGTTGTTGTTTTGAGTTGGAGTCTCACTCTGTCGCCCAGGCTGAAGTGCAGTGGCACACTCTGTTGACCACTGCAGTCTCAACCTGCTGGGCTCAGGCGATCCTTCTGCCTCAACCCTCCAGGTAGCTGGAACCACAGGCACGTGCCACCATGCCCAGCTAATTTTTAAAAATTTATTATAGAGTTAAGGTCTCGCCATGTTGCCCAGGCTGGCCTCGAATCTGTGGGCTCAGGCAGTCTTCTCACCTAGGCCTCCCAAAGTGCTGGGATTATAGGCGTGAGCCACTGCACCCGGCCAGAACTCAACGATTTTACTGATGCATTGTGTTAATGATGACCAAAGATATAAGCATGTTAGGGCCAGCGCTGTCTTTACTTTCTGAATAGTAATCCATTTATAAAGTAAAACACATAGCTAACTAAGATCTTAAACTACAGAGTGTAACTAAGTTATCAGCATTTAAGACAAATAAACTTTATAACACCAGTAGGAATAAACTTTGTGTGCAGTGATGCCTTTATGTGCTATTAATAAGTAATATAGGCACTGACTGGCTCTCCCTCACTACTCTAGAAATGGGGACTGGGTTGGGGGAGGAGCAAGGACACACCCAGCAATGTTTTTACTTCCCGTGGAGCTATATTGTGACACGAGGAACTGTCAGGTAGCCGTAGATCACTGGCAGGTAGCCCACAGACCAGCTTTGCTTGGTTTGTACCATGTGTTACAAATTTGGGGCTGGTGTCTTTCATTGATTCCGTGATGCCCATTTTTTTCTACTTTAACTTTTTTGAATTCAGGATGTATTATATCTTAGTCTGCGATGCCAGCAATTCAATGAAATCTGGTTGTTGTCAATGTCTAGTTAACGGTTTCTTACTTAAATGTCCAGATTTCCAATTTCACTTCAAAATCTGAATACCGGGTGAACATTTGTCCTGTTATTCCTACTTAGACTTTTTTTTTTTAAGTAAAGAGATGAGGTCTCACTGTGCTGCCCATGCCTCACTCAGATTGTGTGCTCAGGTGATCCTCTTGCCTCAGCCTCCCAAGGACTAAAGGTTCGCACCACCATGCCCAACGGCTTAGACCTTTTGTTCTGACACGAGCTGATCGATTTCCCATAGATGGGAGCAATTTAGTGCCATGCGGCTGTATTGCTTACCCCAGGCAGGTAACCTCAAATCAGTCAAGTCAGTGACTGTAAATCAGTCATTGATTTGACTGACCTTGGGGTAACTGCCTGGTCCTGTTCAAGAAACTCTCAGGTTATTTCTTACTCATTTTTAGGTACACAAATAAACACCCCAATTGCAAAGCTAATCTATCCTAGTTTTTTGTTTATTTTTATTTTTTGAGTTGGAGTCCCACTCTGTCACCCAGACTGGAGTGCAGTGACTCGCTCCCGGCCACTGCAGCCTCAACCTGTTGGGCTCTGGCGATCCTTCCGCCTCAGCCTTCCAAGTAGCTGGAACTCCAGGCGTGAGCTACCGTGCCCAGCTAATTTTGATTTTATTGTAGAGATGAGGTCTCACCAAGTTGCCCAGGCGGGTCTCGAACCCGCAAGCTCAGGCAATCCACTCACCTCAGCCTCCCAAAGTGCTGGGATTACAGGCTGAGCCACCGAGCCCAGCTTTATCCTAGTTTTTTAAAATTTGTTTTGTTTTATTTTCTTTTAAAGATGTAGGGTACAATTCAGAGTTAGGTATACAAATGTTCATTATGCAGGTATCCTTATTGATGAGGTGTGCCCCCCTTCCCCTGGCAGATTCCCAGATTTTCCAATCCTGCTTCTATCTTAGTTTTTAAAAATTACTAATTCTCTCCTCCACTATCAAATGTCTCCTTCCTACTGTTTAAGTCTCTGTTATTCATTTCCCTAAGAGACTTGTTTCTGTTGTTAAGTTTGAAGTATATCTATGTTATAATTGTAATGGTAACAACGCAAAGGACTTAATAGGAAGTAGTATGTTGTTTTACATACCAGTTTATATTCTTTTTTTGTAGGGATATACTGTGATCTCAGTATACTTGTAATTTTGAATTTCTTGGTTTAGTGAAAGATTTTGACTGGTTGTCTAAATAGATAGAAAAATATATCTGTATAAGTAGATAATGAAGTAAATATCGATAAGCTACAAACCTAAATGTGTTTTTGATTTTTGTTTAGACAGGATCTCATCTGTTACCCAGTTGAAGTGCAGCTGTACCATCATAACTCACTGTAGACTCCCAGGCTCAACCTGTCCTCCCATCTTAGCCTCCCAAGTAGTTGGGATAATAGGTGTACGCCTGACTAATTACAGCTGTACGCCTGGCTAATTTCTTGTTGAGGCAGGGTCTCGCTATGTTGACCAGGCTGATCTCAAATGTCTAGCCTCAAGTGTTCTCCCACCTTGGCTTCTCAAACCATTGGGATTACAGGTGTGAGCCCCCACAACCAGCCTATATAGATAGTTCCCCCGCCCCCTTTGTTTAAGGAGTTAGGTTTGTTTATGTTGGAAACCAGTTAGTTGTTCAAGAAAACAGAAGTTCCCAGATCCCTCATACTTAAAAAGCTTGCTTTCTTACTGGTTAACAGCAATTATATGATAATTGAAGCTGGGTGCAGTGGCTCACGCCTATAATCCCAGTACTTTGGGAGGCCGAGGTGAGGGGATTGCCTGAGCCCACAGGTTTGAGACCAGCCTGGGCAACTTGGTGATACCTCATCTCTACAATAAATAAAAAAATTAGCTGGGTGTGGTGGTGCATGCCTGTAGTTCCGGCTACGTGGAAAGCTGAGGCAGAAGGATCACCTGTGCCCAGTGGTCAAGGCTGGAGTGGCTGTGAGCATGCCACTGTACTCCAGCCTGGGGACAGAGTGAGACTCTGACTCAAAAAAAAAAAAAAAAAAAAAGATAATTGGGATAAAGTAATCAAAGTACTTCAGATAAAATAAACAAGTACTTAGTGTATTTTGGATGTCAGCAATCAGCCCTGTTTTCCAAGAGCTGACTACCCTGGAAATAAACACTGTTAAAATAAGGTTAAGGACCTGGAAAAGTTAACTAAATATTCCCTAGGAATACTGACAACAGGGCACATTTTCGATTTCTGTCTCATGGTCATTTTAAACAGCTTTTCTGCTTCAGCAAATAGATTTAAAGTCTTTGGGAGACTTAGAGCAGAGAGGTAGAAAGGAGATTAAGTCTAAAAATGAATCATACTGGTCTTCCCTTTGCAGAAAGCAGAAAATGGAGATTTAAATTGGATAATACCAGATCGATTTCTTGCCTTCTGTGGACCTCATGCAAGATCCAGACTTGAAAGTGGTATGCAAAATTACGGGATCAGTATGTTTTGTTATTGAACTATCCAGCCTGTATTTTATTTTGAAAGAGGCCAAAGGGTTAAACTTAGTTTGGCTAAGTCTTAATTATGTAAGTGTACTTAGTCATTTCACTACTGTACATCATTTTCTCTGGGTTTTAATTTTAGCTTTTTAAAAAAATTTGGTTTTTATAGTTACAAATTGGTATTCTGTCCCCAGTCCGGCTACTGTTTGTACGCAATTACAGGTGAAACTATTAGCCATTGTTTTCTTTTTGCAGTTTACAAGGTCTGGTGTATTTCTTTCTGTAGGTTACCACCAACATTCTCCCGAAACATATATTTCATATTTTAAGAATCATAATGTTACTACCATTATTCGTCTGAATAAAAGGATGTACGATGCAAAACGCTTTAGGGATGCTGGTTTCGATCACCATGATCTTTTCTTCGCGGATGGCAGCACCCCTACTGATGCCATTGTCAAAGACTTTCTGGACATTTGTGAAAATGCTGAGGGTGCCATTGCAGTACATTGTAAAGGTATGTTTCTAGGATTGGTTAAAGAATGGTGTATATGTAGGAATATATATGTAGAAACATAACATACTTATTTAGGCTATTAAGTCAGGATGCATGAAACTGGCTTTATTTTTTAAAGAATGCTTACAAAACCCTAATTTCGTATGAAAAGTACAGTAAATCAAATTATTGTCATAAGTAACCCTACAAAGACTTATCACATTGAAATGCATTTATTTATTCAACCAATATCTATGAAGTGCCAATAGGACAGTAAGTTACAGGACACATCAATGAGGAGAGCAGACTCTTAAGAGCTTTCTTTATGGAGACTATGGGGGAGACCCCCCAAAAAACCTGGACTATCTTTTGGAGGGCAGACCCCTTGTAGTATACTTGGAATTTGTTCCACCAGATTAGATGGTCAACTGAAGTTTTTGTCTGGACGTTTCGAGAAGATCGTATGATGATTTGCGGAAGAAACGTCCTGAGTTGTGGCAAACAAGTGACTGGTTCTTCCGCCATGATAATGCACCTGTCTACATCATGCTGAGTGTGCAGCAACTTTTGACCCAAAACGGCATGACCTGTGTGCCCTGCTCTCCCTCAGCTCCCAGTCTGGGCCCGAGCAACTTTTTTTGCTGCCTCGAGCAACTTGTTTTTGTTTCCCCGACTTTGCTGATGTGGAAGAAAGAGGTGAAACAGAAAATGACAGAAGCACTAAAAGGCATCAGAATGGATGAGTTCAAAAAATTGTTTTGAGCAGTAAAAAAAGCATCTACATAGGTATATTGCCTCAAATGGCGAGTACTTTAAAGGCAACTGAAGTTTAAACACGTAAGAATAAATACTCAGTTTTTTATAAGCAAACTCCATTTTGGGGGGCGTTCCCTTTTGTATTTTAACAGGTTGTTATGTTTTTAGCAGTGCCTGGCACTTGTTAAATATTTTTTGAGTGAATGAATGACTACACAATAATACATAGTATGAGTATAATAGGATTGATTTAACTCTTCTCTTGTTAGATAGCTAATTAAGAAGACAAGGAATATATTTTTGTTAAGAAAATCCGACTTTGAGAAAAACTCCAACAAATCCTGGGGAAGGCAGAGCCTCTGGTCTCTACAGTTCACTGTATTTGTAGTCACAAATATAATTACAATTATAATGTTCAAGTGTTCAGTTTTCATTGAAAAAATCACAAAGCGTGCAGACACACTAGGAAAGTATAGCTTATCCAAAGAAACTGTCTCTGAGAAAGATCAGATAGTAGACTTGACTAGACAAAGAATTTAAAACAGCTATCCTAGAATAGCTCTCACAGAGTTCAAAGAAAATATAGAAAACTCAAGGAAACAATGCGTGAACAAAATGAAATTATCAGTTAAAAAAATAGAAGAAACAAAGAGAACCAAAACAAATCTGGAAATAAAATATATAATAACCAAAATGATACATTCTCTGGATTCAAAAGCAGGTTTAAGTAGGCAGAAGAAAGAATTAGTGTGAAAATAGGTTTATGAAAAAATTATTAAGTCTGAGGAAAAGAAAGAAAAAAGATTGAAGATGCAGGACATGCTGGCTTATGCCTATAGTCCTAGCACTTTGGAAGACATAGAGAGGATTGCTTTGAGAAGCCAGAGGTTCAAGACCAGCCTAGACACATATAGACCCCATTTCTATAAAAGTACAAATAAAATGAATTATGTGTGGTGATACATGTCTGTAGTCCCAGCTACTTGGGAGGCTGATGTGCGAGTATCAGCTGAGCCCAAGAGTTTGTGACTGCAGTGAGCTATGATTGTGTCACTGGACTCCAGCTTGGGCAACAGAGTGAGACCCTGTCTCTTAGTAAAAAGAAAAAAGATTGAAGAACAATGAACAGAATCTTAAGTAAGCTCTGGGACACAAATCAAGCAGACCAAGATACAGATAGTTGGAATTTCAGAAGAGAAATAAAAGAGCAGAGAGATTATTTGACTGAAAACTCACCAAATTTGATGCAAATTTGATCTGATTATTAACATGAAAGATGCTCAACAAGCTTCAAACAGCATAAACTCAGAGAACCACATAAAGACACATAGAATCAAATTGTCTAAAGCCAGAGACAGTCTTGAAAACAGTAAGAGAGAAGTGACTTTTCACATACAAAGGGATACCACTAAGGTCATAGCAGATTTCTCATCAGAAAACTTTGGAGGCCAGAAAGAAGTGGGTGATATAGTCAAACATGCTGGGGGGGGGTGGGTTGGGGAGAGTGGGAAACCTATCAACCCAAGAATCCTATGTCCAGCAGAACTCCCTCAAAACAAGGGAGAAATCCCAGAAAATCAAACATTGAGGGAGTTTTTGCCACTAGATTTGTCCTGCACAGAATGTTAAAGGGAGTTTTTAGGTTGAAATGAAAGGATGGGGGGGCAGGGGAAGAGAGGTGGGATTAACAGTAGTCAGTATCTGTCTGGGGACCGGGAGACACCCCTTATCAACAAGGGTGCATGAACAAAGCATATTTGTATACCTAATCCTTAACTGTACCCTACAATATCAAAATAAAAAATACTGATATTAAAAAAAAAAGAAATGAAAGGACATTAGACAGTCACTGAAAACTGTATGAAAAAATATAGATCTCTGATAAAAGCAAAAACATGGACCGTTATAAAGGATAGTATTGTTGTAATGTATGATAATTTGTAAAGTGTTGTCAATACTGTAACTTATAACTTGCAAATATTATAATATGTAAAGTACTGTTATTGTAACATATAAAATAGAGAGGAGTAAAACAATACAGAAAATAAGAGAGTACCATGAACAGTTTTAGAACAACAGATTGGGTAATCTAGATGAAATGGATGAATTCCTAGAAACATAACCTTCCAAGACTAAATGACAAAGAAATCGAAAATCTGAATAGACCCAAAACTATAAAGAAATCCAAAACCTCCTGACACAGCAGAACCCTGGACATGATGGCATCACTGGTAAATTCTTCCAAACTTTTAAAGAAAGACTATTACCAGTCCTTCTCAAATACTGCCACAAACTGAAGAAAAGGCCGGCATGATGGCTCACGCCTATAATCCTAGCACTTTGGGAGGCGAGATGAGAGGATTGCCTGAGCTCACGGGTTCGAGCCCAGCCTAGGCATCTTCGTAAGACCTCATCTATACAGTAAATAAAAAAATTAGCCAGGCATGGTCGTGTGTGCCTGTAGTTCCAGCTGAGGCAGAAGGATCCCCTGAGCCCAGCAGTGTGCCACTGCACTCCAGCCTGGGCTACAGAGTGAGACTCTCACTCAAAAAAAAATTGAAGAGAAAGGAACACTTCCTAACTTGTATAAGACCAACTTGATCCTGATACCAAATGCCAGAGACACTGTAAGAAAAGGAAACTACAAGCCGATATCCTTGATGAACTTTGCTACATAAATTCTGAACAAAATACTAGCAAGCTGAATTCAGCAACATATTAAAAAGGATTGTACATCATGACCAAGTAGGATTTATTCCAGGATCACAAGGGTGGTTCAACCATATGAAAGTTAATCTGTAAGACACCACACTAAGGGCAAAAACCGCATGGTCATCCCAATTAATGCAGAAAAAGCATTTGACAGAATTCAGTACCCTTTTGTGATTAAAAACACTCAAACTAGATATAGAAAGAAACTGCCTCAACATAATCAAAGCCATATATGAAAGGCCTACTAATATACTCAGTGGTGAAAAACTGAAATCCTTTTCCCTAAGGTCAGGAACAAGACAAAGACACCCAGTTTTGCAACTTCTTTTCAACATAGTATCAGAAGTTGTAGCCAGAGTAATTAAAAAAATGAAATAAAATATGTCAAAATTGAAAAGGAAAAAGTTAATTATCTTTGTTTGCAGATGATATGATTTATATGTAGAAAACCCTAAAGGTCTCAACACACACACAAAAAAACCCTGTTAGAACTAATAAATGAATTTAGCAAAGTACCAGAATACAAAGTCAACAGGAAAAAAATCAGTTGTGTTTCTGTGCCCTAACAAGGAATAACTTATAAAAGAAATTAAGAAAAAATTCCATTTACATTAGCATCAAGAAAAATAAAATACTTAGGAATTAACCAAGGATATGAAAGACTTTTGAGAAAGTAAAACATTTTTGTTTTTTAAACTGTTTTTGAGATGCTGGGCATGGTGGCTCACACCTATAATCCCAGCACTTTGGGAGGCTGAGGTGAGAGGATTGCCTGAGCCCACGGGCTCGAGACCATCCTGGGTAACATGGCGAGACCTCGTCTCTACAATTAAAAAAATAATAATTTAGCTGGGTGTGGTGGTGCATGCCTGTAGTTCCACCTACTTGGAAGGCTGAGGTGGAAGGATCGCCTGAGCCCAGCAGGACGAAGCTGCAGTGGCCGTGAGCATGCCACTGTACTTCAGCCTAGGTGACAGAGTGAAACTCCGACTCAAAAAAAAAAAAAGTGGTTTTTTTTTGAGAGAAAGTATAGAAAACATAAATAAATGGAAAGACCAAAGACAGTGGTCATGGATCGAATCACTTAATATTAACATGTCAGGACTATCCAAAGGGATGTACAGATTCAATGCTAACTCTATCAAAATCCCAGTGTTTTTGGCAGACATAGAAAAATCATCCTAAAGTCCTTTCGGAATCTCAAGAGATGCCAAATAACTAAAACCGTCTTGGAAAAAAAAGAACAGGGCTCGGTGGCTCAACCTGTAATCCTGCGCCTTTGGGAGGCTGAGGTGAATGGATTGCCTGAGTCCGTGGGTTCGAGACCCGCCTGTGGAACTTGGCAAGACCTCATCTCTACAATAAATCAGAATGAGCCGGGCGTGGTAGCACGCGCCTATAGTTCCAGCTACTCGGAAGGCTGAGGCGGAAGGATCGCCGGAGCCCAGCAGGTCGAGGCTGCGGTGGCCGGGAGCGGCCACTGCACTCCAGTCGGGGTGACAGAGTAAGACTCCAACTCAAAAAAAAAAGAACAAGGTGGTAAACTCATACTT